CGCCGCAGCGGGGCGCCAGTCACGTGGCTCTCCTCTCATCCGTTGTCTTCCGCTCCACTTTCCCATTTCGGCGGCCGCTTCTCGTGGCGATCTGCCAGACTTTGTCAGCATATAGGAGGCTATGCCCAGGCTTGGCAGGTTTTGTCTCACCCAGTGTCAGCTAAGACGCTGTTTTTAGCAAACCGGCCCAGCCAGCTTTGTGTCTACCCACTAATCCTTGCAACCAGGGCTCGGTGCTCTGACGTCCGCGCGCGCTCTGGTCTTCTCCCCTCCCTCAGTTGCCGCCCGCATTTTATTGTTCGAGGATCGTTTTGGGACGGGTTAGTAAGTTCCGTCGAGGACGCTTCTCCTCGTGCATACATGCACTGCGAAAAAGCGACAGTTGTGGAGTGTACACAGCGCGAAGAGCAATTTGTGAACTCTCCGTAAATTAAACTTCTAAGAGTAGAAAGCAGAAGCAAGCGAGATTCCCTCACACTCACTGGAATCACCAAATTCCTGCAGATTTATCTTTAATCGACGAGACCCAGCAGACTATATATTCGCACACATCGCTAAGGCGCCGAGAAGCTGATGGGGAGGTTACCGCTCATTCACACTGGAAGCGGATCCGCCTTCGCAAAGCGGTTGCAAACGCGGTTGTATAAAGATACAGTACAATTGCACGCGCACTCGATGACATCAAGTGCACGTGCAATGGACCTTTTCCGAGAAGCGTTCTGCGCACGCGCGAGCGCCCAATGCCAAGCGGCGGAAGTCGGAACGAAAAATCGAGGAAATTCGGAAGGAGGCTGTATATCAGCCAGTAGAACACGTAACTGCAACATATATATAATTGTGTTACACACAAAAAAGAACGTCGACGGAAAGGAAAACACGACGTTTGGGTGGACGCCACGGATGCCCCTTTGTAAAGTCGCGTTGGGCAGGCGCCGCTGCTCAGAGAGCGGAGAAACTGGTAGCGTAGCTCCCATTATCGGTTGGTAGCGCAGGTAGGTCACTTCCTCGATTTTTAGTTTGTGCAGCCACCGTTTGGTGCCGTCGGTATGTGGAAAAGGTCCATTGTACTGGATCTTTATACAACCGCGTTCGCAACCGCTTTGCGAACGCGGATCCGCTTCCAGTGTGAATGAGCGGTTAGAAGGCCGAGCTCTAGTTGGAAGGATTAGTGGGTAAACCTAAAGCTAGAGGCCTTTGTCTTCACTGCACTCGCCGAACGCGTTCGAATGCGAAAGTCAAACTCCGGTCGCCGGCTTTCAGTGTTCAAACGCGTTCGACGGGTGCATTGGAGACGAAGGGCGCCCCCCTCCACATGTGTTCCAGAACTGAGTTGATTTCATCATGATGGTGTAGATCACGGTCCTCAGACTACCTGGTCTGGAAGCTTTTTGATGCGCTTAGGTGAAGTTTCTCCTTGGCAAAATTCGAAGCACCAGAGGCGCTGCCGACTGTATATCTCCTTATTGAGACTGCTCGCCACCACCGTGGTTGATTAAAATGAACATAATTTCTTTGTAATGTACCTGTGGTTCGAAACTAAATGCCAACAATAAATTCCAAACTTTATTTTGAAAATTAAACGCGTTTGCATAACGACGGCGCTTTTGCTGCCAACGGATTTCGTCTGCGTGTTGTCTGCCTTCTTTCGCTGCTCGGCTACACCTTCGGACGCTGCTCTGGACGCCATCTATCAATACGTGCGCCAAACGCACCCCGCAACTCGACTCGGTCGTCTGCGTCGCCGTCCGTCGTTGACTCTGGAAAGTTTTTTTGGCCGTATGTTTCACAAAAAAGGGAACTACACTTTGTACTTGTGAAATACACCTTTGTCGAAAAGTTTAGATAGCTACGTGCAGACGTCGATTTTTACGGTCCATTTTAGATCGAGCCGGGTGACTTGGGACACCCTAAAAGAGCAAATGACATAAAAATATAATAATAATACGCGCGAGGGCCGTTTCCATTTGATGTGGGTTTAGTCACAGACAAATTCAACTTAGGAAGAATGGGCGCGAAAACGGCGTCGCAGTGAGGCAGATCAAGAGCGTTCAGCTCGATGGACGTCGAGTGGATCCCTCTGGATGGCAGCACAAAGAAAGAGTAGGCATAGTTTTCTTTTTCTGTTTGTTTGTTTCGAAGTACTGTTCAGTATCGTCCTGTATAGAAAATTGCAAGCATGGCACCCAGACTGGTCCCCCATGCGTGCAACACGTGCAGCTTACGCGAGAACTTAGCTTTGGCAAGCTTGCACCTGCACGGGTTTGTACGTCCGCACGAACCACTTTGTCAGTGACCGTAGTTTCGACCCTACCCGACAGATACGAATAAATATCGATTGATTAAGGTAAATCGTGGCACATAAAAACACCTAAGACCTCCGGAAACCCGAGCTTTCGTATTTCCGTGAGCCCGCGTATAAGGGCTATAGAACACGCCGCCGGTAGATCGCCACTCAGAAAACAATGGGCGGAAAGGGAGAATGGCGAGAGAGAAAGAGAGAGATAAATAAGACCGAGGAAGAGAGAGCGAAGGAGGCAGAGAGAAAAGCAAAGTCCGTTATGATCCTCATGACCAATATTGACTTCGGCAAGCAAAGCGCTGGTTGTGCGCACAAGCTGGAGCCGTGCGCAGCACTCGGTTGCGGTGTATTTTTGCTGTCGCGGAACAAACCCTCAAATATTTGCTTCCGCCCACTTTACGCTTTTGGAGGCCACACACGAAGGAAGGCTGCGCGAGGAATTTATCTAAACAGGGCCTCTGATATCTCTTTCTAATAGAGACGTCGAAGCTGAGATTCACCACGAATGCCGTCGCGCATCCTGGGTCCTATGATCGCGCGATTCTAGACCGGGTAATATATACGGCACAATTGAAAAAAAAAAAAAAAATTAGGAATTTTGAGTGGGGTTCTGATTAACATAGATCAACACACGATACTGTAGGGGGCGAGAAGGCACTCGATGCCTCACCTTCAGTGCTAGCTTTCTGCCTTTATTAACACTCGGTGCAACTGCAGCCAAACAACTTGCAGAAGCCAACGAGCGGAATACACCTATTCCAAGCTTGAAATTGTTCACTATACAGAACTGTTTTAGGCTAGAGAGTCTATACTTAGTTTTGTTAAAGGCGAACGGTCGAACTCCGTCGTAATTTTCTGGTATATATGCTTTAATTTGGGCTCCATCCAATAAGCTTTAATATGAGTTTTGCCAGCATTGACATATGAGGCCAGTCAGAAAAAGTTTACATAACCAAACCAAGAAAAAACTATTTTATATTAAAAAAGGTATTTTCGTTTTTTTCCTATTGTCATCAAATTTCGAACATCGAAAACAGGAAGTCAGCTTAAAACTGCAAATGCGCGTGTGAAAGTCACACACCGCAACCAAGAAAGGAGCCATACTGGATGTAGAAGTCATTGTCCAACCAAATGACCCCCAACAAACGCTTTCAGACCCATCAAACTCCCCCACCCATTCTCTCAATGTAACCTAAAAGGCATCTAAAGCCAAAATCTGCTCTCTTCCTCCGCCACCTCCAGCACAAACACGCGCCATTCACAACAGATTTTTATGCAGCTCGCAGCAGAACCAGCCCGGCCACAAAAAACAACCACGAGAACCCACCACAATACTACCGTCGGTCGGTCTCTTCAATTCCCGCCCACCAAATATAGCCGTCGTCGTTTTCCACCCAAAAGTCAGCGCAAGACAGGTGGTCCCGGGGAATACGAGTACGTGACTCGGAGGACGCTTCGGATATGGACTTGAAGCAGCCAGCCTCAGTGTAGTATACCACACGAAGCCATCCGCCCCACAAGAAGAAAGGGGAGGCCGCAAAAACGACAAGCCGCACGTGGTCTCGGGCCCTCTTTATGCCGGTCTTTGTGACCCCCTTTGTGACTCTCTTTGTGACTCTTTTTGTTGGTCTTCGGTCCCAAATCGAAGCACCACAGAGACCACCCCGTCCGGTGTGTATGTGTTTGAATTGGGGATTTTGAGCCCCCCCCCCCCTTCCAAAACCTCGACCGTCTGCACTTTTAACGGCTGTGCGCTATGGACGGAGGAGACGCTCACTTATGGTAACTTTTAGTTTAGTTTTAAGTTTTTGTTTGGTTGTTCCTTTTTTCTTTTGTAAGTTTTGGTTGGGGAGAGGGGGTTAGGTTATGTTTAAACGGGCCAAAATCTATCCCGGCTATTCGAGCCTCACGAACTGCAGCGCTCGTAGCAGACGGGCCAAGAGTCAACCACAAACACAGCTGCCTATTTGTTTCTAAGATTGACAGTGAACGCGCGGAAAAGGTCGATCCCTTTTATGGTTTTGGGGAAGAGCGTCGGGGCGGTTGGTAGGTTGGGCGGGAAGTGGCGACACCTGGTGGTCCGTTTTTGGGTAGCCTGCGAGGCTAAAGCTTCCCATGGATGGACGGATAGATGGATAACAGCGGAGGGAGAAAAAAGTGAAATAAAGGTCGGGTCCTTGTTGACGCCTTGGGGGGCCGCCATAGTCGGTCGCTCCGTTGTCGTGTGTACCTTGAGGCTTCAAGAACGCGCTCCTTGCCGTGTGTACATAGGCAAACATCCAGCGTGAAATCTATATTCAGGGCACGATCATCGGGTTGCCATTGAAAAACGCGCGGGGAATGTTGGTTATTCGTCTTATTCGATTGCTTGTTTCTTGGGGCTACATTGCTTGTAAAGTTTTATCATATACTTTTTACATTTTTTTTTACAGGAACCCTTAAGGTGCGTTTATTTGTGTGAGACAGGAATTGTTTGACTGTCGGATTTTAACCTAGCCTATTGGGAATTCTCGCCCCCTTTGATTTGGGGGGTCATGTGTATCTTGGCAAGATGCTTCTAGATCCGCTTTGGTGGGAACTAACGCAATGGAATCACCAGATGGCTGGGTTTCACATGTTGCACGTTAACGTTTATCGCCATTCAAAATCCAAGGCGCCGGTCAGTTTACTTCGTTTTCAATTTTTCTCTTCCTTCCCTTAGAGCAAACAATCCAGGAGACATCCCTTGGCTTGGCCTGGCTTGACTCGACCTGGCGGTGTGCTCGGCATGGACCTCGGCTCTACAGACGCCTCGCGCTGTGAGTTTAAGTTAAACCCAAATTAAAAATAAGGGTGGGGAGTGACTAGTCTCTTCGAGCCAATGCAGTCGCACCGGCCATCATAAGGCCTGGTAGCTTTGCTCATAGACCAACCCAACTCACTTACGTCCCTCCACTGCGATGGTGCTGCTGTCGGTACTGCGCATGCGCAAAGGCTTCCCTCCTCCCGAATTTGGTTTCTGCGCACGCGCAGTGCCCACACCTGGTGTGGGCAAAGCGGGCCTGTTTGGAAACACTCTGTTGGTGCATGCAGAATGGACCAGCTCGATCCAATGACGTGGCCATAACTGGACTGCGTATTTGATCACGCGGTTTCAGACAGAGTTTACTGAGCTGTTAGCGAGGGTTACAGTCCTTCTGGTAGAGGGAAGACGCAGCATGCCTATCCTAGAGCGACAGACATTTGTGTGCGACTGCATCGTTTTGGGGGGGATTGGCCTTTTAGTTACTGAAATTTCCGTTTGTACGCATTCTGCAGTCTTAACTGGGGTTATGTGCTGTGCACTTTCAAATTTAACCTAAAAAGAAAATGATAAACTTTTGCTGGTGACAAAATGCTCAATAATGGAGCTGCGCCCGAGGGTTTGAGATTTATGAAATTATCTATCTGCTGGTCGTCTGAGACGAGCGCAAGCTTGGCGATCTATATAAAATCCGATTTTCTTTGTTACCGGTATTTATTTATTTATTTATTGTACATTTATTTATTGTACATACCCTCAAGCGCCGAAGCATTGTAGAGGGGAGGGGCAAAGCAAACAAAAATAAAATAAACTGACAAAACAAACAAAAAAAATCGGCAAGAAATTCAAATATCAAAAACACACTGCCGTGAATAGCGCCGTTGATCCCGTGTTATTATGAAAAACTTCATTTACCATTACAGTTCCAAGCCATACTGGACATTTTAAAAGTTCCCATGTCCAGCGCAAATATGGAGAGGGCATTTTCGTGCTGCTATTTATTTATCTATTTACTGCACTTTTCCGGTGCCCCTAAACATTCCGTGAGCCTACATAAGCGTGCAGTGTTGAGATGTACATGCCTAGGGTTCCATGAAAAGCAGGCACACGAAACACATACATAATATAAAGAAACAAAAACGTAAAATATAAATGTACATGAAAAGAAGTACATAAAGCTAAAAGTAACACTATGCTAAAAAGACTGATACACAGAAGCGTTACATTATAAAAGCATTAGCAAAAACCGCATACTAAAAATTTCTCGCAAAGAAAAAAATATACTTCGGGCGTGTTAAAATATGCTGGCCCAAAGGAACCGAAAACAGGATGGGAGCGGACAGTCCTGCCAAGTACAGCACTGAACACGGATGAGGTTAGTTTGGGGGCAATCGATAAAACCGCAGAGACATTTGTGTAAAAATAAAAAAGTCTCCCGCCTGCCCCTTTCCGGAGAGTCAGTACAGGTTTGAAATCTTCAACAACTGCTCATGGCTGAAATGAATTCGAGCGTTAAAATAACTATCGTAAAGCAGTCGAAAAAAACTTCTGAATATTTTCAAGCTCATTCGAGTTTGTCTGGTTTAAACGGTTCCTAGCAATGCTGGAGAAATCCAGTTTAGACAGGATGAGGGATCGATGTATATATATATATATATATATATATATATATATATATATATATATATATATATATATATAAGCGACAGTACACTCTAAAAAAAGCCCGTGCGTCCACTTTCCCGCACAATACTCGGAGAACCAATCACCGCAACTTACGGAGGCAGCTCAGTGAATGACGATGCTGAAACATGTTTAGACCAAAAACCGCAGTCTGAGTTGAGACATTAAGCAATGCAAGCGTGACGTTTTGCATTGCTTGATGTCACAACTCAGACTGCGTTTTTTTGGTCTAAACATACGTTTCGTCATCGTCATTCGCTGAGCTGCCTCCGTAAGTTACAGTGAATGGCTCTCTGAGTGTTTTGGGGGAAAGTGGACTCACGGGCTTTTTTTAGAGTGCACCCTCTGAAATTACGCGTCATTCTGGTAATCGCGCCCAGAGTACGGTAACACGCATTGCTGAAATATGCCAGCACATGATCACAGACTATCAGTTCACTGTTTTAGAAGATTCCTAGATCACGTGCAATTGAAAAGCGCTCAGTCGAGCATTGTTCAAAATGTAGTCAAGGGTGTTAAAAAACTGTTTTCTCGAAAAAGATATAGTAACTTTTGTTTTAGCCGGCTTAAGAACCAAATTGCTGTCCTTGCACCAATCTGCCAATGTTCTAATATTTTTCTGTAGCTTATCGCATTCAGAAATGTCAACAATAGCTCGATAAGACTTAACGTCATCGGCGAATTGTAACATTTTTGAGAAATTTATGCATGAGTACATATCGTTCACGAATATTTTAAAAAGCAGAGACGATGGGTTAGAACCCTGCGAAACGCCCGATCTGAAAAGCTATGAAGGATGCAAGCCTCTCAAAGTATGCTTGCATCTATTATAATAATCAAGTGCAAAAAGAAATGCTCGCAAGTGAAGAAGAGCGTATAAAATTGGAACTCTAAAGTGTTTCTGTGCAATATTAATTTTTTTTCACCGCTAATCAACGTTTTTGTTTCGTCACAAGTCGTCCAACCGAGGTACACCGGTGTGTAAACAATAAATAAACACCGAAAAACATCCGCCGATTTTTTTTCAATTATAAGTTCCGGAAAATACGCACCATAGGTTATGTTGTGTGGTGCAAAAGAAAAACGAACAAACATTGAAGCCGAAATCAGACACTAAAAATATTATAACTGGAACATTACCACAGCTTGACAAGTTCATGTGAAATGAACTAGATACTATCGCGCCTAAATCTGCTAAGTTTAGAAGTGGCAGCATGGAACGTGATTCCAAAGGGGTGACATGTATTTATGGGACTGGGAAAACGTTTTCTGGTTACAAAATGTTAGGACGATAGGATGCCTCTATGTAGTACTTCTACTCGACGCGAGATTGTGAGTTGCATGGTTATGATTCTATGAGAAAATCAGTGCAAGCTTACACGAGAACAATATTTAGTAAGTGAGCGGATTTGTTCAACAGACGGCCAACTTTGACATATTCGAATTCTATTATTTTTTAAAGGTCATCTTCAAATATAAATTTACTAAACCTTCGAGGAAATTGGCCACGCAGGCGAACCTGTTGACCCCCAAAATAAAAACTCATCACTGATAAAAATAGGGTCAAAAATGTAAAGGTCGATTGGCGAACTCAGCTCTCACCGGGTGAAGATTCGAATGCCGTAATTGCCACGCCTTTCACGCAACACGCAGAAATATATGGTCAGGTGCATGCATGCACACGGCCGTTCAAATAAACATACGCCCCTCTAACCTCGAAGAAACTGGAGAGGGTAAGTCTTCATAACAAAATAAACGAAAAGAAAACAAAAAAGAAAAGACACCGGGCCCACCTAGCTTTTGTCGTTGTTCTTCGGATATGCGCCTTGAGGAAGCCTTGAGTTCGCGTTCAGCATTCCCCGAAACCACTTCAACTCACAGACCACCCCGGTTGACAGAAATAAAAGAAAATCAACAAAAATAAGACGCTACTTAGACAAAAGCCCAAGGGGAGTCACACAGATCTCCTAAATACAACAAACAAGTCGTTTAAGAAAAGTTAAAGACAAAGTTAAGCGGACCTTCGTTGCTGGTACGGTAAGAGCCAACAGAGCACTTCTCAATGACCTCTCGATCAGTCGTCCTTTTTCGCCATTCCAGATCCACCGGCTGTCAATCATGCGGTGACTTGGAGACTCAAGTGGAACCTGCGTACCCTGCAGGACTTGAAGAGGAAGCAAAAAAAAAAAAAAAAAAGGAAAGGACGAAGGGGAAAAGATGGTCCACTGCAGGAGACGCTACGGAAGAGCTCTTTTCCTCCTCGAGAGTGTTCGTGGTCAGGTGCGGACGTGGATGCTCTGTCCTGGTACTCAAGACCGCAGGAATGTGGACGTCACCGTCGAAACAAGCTTCGTCGAAGTTTTGCTTGCCTTGTTTGTTTGTTTTTCTGCTTCTCTATTTCTCTTCTCGGTGCGACCTCCTGCTGCTTGTTTGGCATCGGCGATTGGTCGTGGCAGTTGGCCAATCAGAGCGACAATAAACAAAGAGAAGGAGGAGGAGGGAGACACGACGAGTCGTTTTGTGTGTATAGTGCTTTTGCTGTTTTTTTAGTCACAGACAACCTAAGAAACACGGGGCGTGACCTATAACCTTTGCGATTCGTTTTTCGACGTTCTCGTCGACTAACGCAGCAATCTCATTCGCCGCCAAACGACAATAAATTGTGGAGAACTCGCCCGAAAAATCGCTTTTTCAAAAGATCGTCGAGCAACACTGGCGGTCGCCATATTTTGTGCATCGCTCGCTGCGCGAAGCGTGCGATTGGATCCGAATGTACGCCAAACCCTGACGCAGCACGTACTCGTGTTAACTGCGCGCTGAAAGTGCATATTCAAAACACGGTGCCTTCGAATGACCGACACAGCCGCTATTGGACGATTTTAAAGGGGTCTTTATTCAGTATTCGCTGAGGCGAGAGCAATATAAGCTGCAATACAATAGCCACCATACGATAGTTGCAATTTAGTTGCAGCTGCATTGTGGTGCAATAAAATAGAGAGCCATACGATGGTTGCAATTTTCTGAAACCAATTTAACCTGGCACTGCGATCGATTGTCGGTAATTGTACAGAGTTACTCGACAGTTAAATATTTAATGTGAGATTATCTAGAGTCAAAGAGGTGTTCACTGGAAGTGGCAACGCTTGTTGTCTCGTTTAATCGAGGTGTTAATTTTGCCACAAAATAGGCTTGGCTTAAAAATTGACAAACTCCAAACTGTACGAATGATACAAGCCTGAAAGAAATATTAAAAAAAAAAAACGCGTATGGAAATATACGTGTTTCTATACTGCAACACCAAGTGCAGCGAAAATCAAAGAAAATAGAAAAATAAGCATGAAAAACGATGGAATAAGCGGTGCTACGCATTAAAGCACTTGACAGTTACGCACGTACGCGGACATTCAGATCACGCACAAACACGCAGCCAGACATGGCTCCTCGTTTTCACTCGCGAAACCACGAACAAAATTGCGCGCAACACAATGAACCTCATCCTCACACCATTACCGGAAGCCGCTGCTCTACAGCCTGCCAAAAAGTTGTCGCGCGAGTGACCGACCACAAAGGCGCGGCGACCCCCTACCCCTCAAATTTCACGCCCTTTACGGAGCAGAGAAGAGGAACAGATGCGTAACGCCATAGCCAACATCGATTCCCTTCCGCGCACGCGGGCGCGTCGAAGCAAAAGTACGAGCTCTCCAAAAAACAAAAGCCACGAAAGAAGAGCCGGGACTTCTTTCCCCAAGAGCTTTTCCCTTCCCGCTGCGAATGTCCCACTTTGCGCTAGCTTCCCCAAACTCTATTCACTCCCCCCCCCCCCCCTCCTTTCCCGAAACTACCTCGTCACCCATTGTTCTTTGCGTGGCTCTCCCTAAAGACCTGACACGCATGTGCAAACACACATATACGCGCTCACGTTTTGAACGCTCGTCTTCATATACCCGCACAGCCGCGTACATCCACGCGAACGTAACTCCATCTGCAAAAGCGCGGATCTTTACCGCCCAAGAGCTCTGTCCCGAGCCTGAAACACTCGTCGAGAACAAAGAGCACCCCCACACGCCCTGAAGGAGTTCGCACTTTTGACGCTGCTGGCGCGCTGCTCCGTCTCTTCTTTTCCGGCATGTATGCTATGTGTGTTTCATTCGTCTTTGAACGTTTTGTGTTTCGTTTATTTTGTGTTTTTCTTTTCGTTCTTGCAAAAACAGGATTGCGATTGAGATGAGCCACGCTACCACCGCGCTCGCAAAATTGTGTGTGTTAGTGTGTCCGTGCGTGTGTGCGCGTGTGTGTGTGCGCAGAAATCGCGCGGTTTTTGACGCCCCTGAGGGAGGCACACTTCAAAAGCTGTCGAGGGATTGGTGTGAACCATCCAACGCCACTCTGCAGTTCGGTTGGATTATTTTATCCTTTATTACCGCAGGCTCTTCAGTTCTCTTTAAAGTAAGTTCTGTTCTCATTTTATGTTTCTACGCTTGGCAAAACAAAAAGAAAAAAGAACTTAGCTTTCACAAAAGAAGTGAAGTCGAGAGCAGGGCCAAATGGGATATTCTCGCTCTTCATCCCTCTAACATTTTTTTTTCTTTCTTTTTGACGAGTTTTTAATTCCTGTTCACCGCTATTTCAGCGTAAGGGATAAGAGCTTGGTCACCCACACACTGCCTGATATGCTCTATTCAAACCTCGAATAGATGCGAACGCATAGGTCGTCTTGGTCGAACATTGCTCGCGTTCAAACACGTTCTCATTACGATGTTCTGCGCAATACGCGGGACTTGTGTTCGAAAGACTGTGTGACGAGAGGAAGAGATTAACACACACCGAGATCGATATGTCGATAAATAAATCAAATTTGGCCAAGTCATGGTCAGTTGCCCCTAGAATATATCAGAGCTCCGGTTGGGAAGGATTCGTAAGTACGCGTAAACCTAGCTGCCTTTGAATTCTACTGAGTCCGAACGCGTTTGAACGGAAACGTCGAACGCCGGATGCTGGCGCTCGGCGTTCGAACGCGTTACAACAGTGAACGGAGACAAAGGCAGTTAGCCCTGCGTCTACTTACCAATTATTCCAGTCGGAGCTCGGTGTTGTGAATTCCCCGCACACTCTCGTCTCCTCTCTCCCTCTGTTTCTAGACGAATAACACAGCAAATCCAGAACAAAGAAAAATAAATGTGTGCAGTTCATTGGAAAAAAAAAGCGAAGACGTTTAGGAGAGCTTGGACTCGTCACTAAAATATATAGGTAAGTATAGGACTACCGACACATACAAAGGGTATATATAACACTCACCGTCCATCCGTAATAAGCGTACTACGTGGGATCAATAAAAAAAATCTCTTGCCGGTGCGAGAAGTCGCAAGATCGGTGAACAAGAAATTCAAACACATCGTTAGTCAGGGTGTATACGTACCCGGTTAAACAAAAACTACGGACGACGAAAAAAAAGCTATTATAAATTCTGTGAACGTGCTAGTGTAGTTGTGCACGCTATGCTGCTCATTCTTATTATTATTCAAAGATACTATGAAATGAGGAAGTTTGAAATCCCACAATCACCTCTGGTAATACAGCACGACACTGCTGTCGTATATACTATGTTCACCATTCAAACAAACACCCCCGACAGAAAAGTTCCCAATCGATCTGACGTTCATTCCCACAATAGAACTCGGGCTGGACGAACCGAGCTTCAGAGGCACACTTATACAAATGAAGCCTACATGTCGTTCCTTCGTTTCCCACACCAAAACAAACTTCTCTCCTCCTCTTCGACCACTTGTTCCTACAAACGTAGCCGCGATCACAGCGAACCCAGAGGTGAGCATAGTATATATCGAAACAAAACTAAAGCGGCAGCCACATCAGCTAATAACATGGACCACAGAGAGCACTACGAGCGATCCCAGCCAATCAAGCCCAATGCGTGCGTCACGCCACTACGGTCCCCGCGCGTTGCAGCGCCCCTCGCTAGAGCCACGTGACGCCCACATGACGTCTAACTGGCTGCGACGACTCGTGACGTCATTTTCGGTCCATCGCAAGGTGAAACGAGTGCACTTGATCCACTGTAACGGCAACCAGCTCGAAACAGCGTTCCGCCTCCAAAACACATTAGCAGATACTATCGTATGTCTCCCACGGACCAGAGACACGCGATGAGGCGTACACGCGCACACCTAAAAAAAATAAAGAAGAAATCAATAAAGCGAGCAAAAACAGCGCAAAAAAATCAGTAGTTCCATTCGGTGCTGTGCCAAATCTCTCGTGTGTGCGACTACGATACGCGTTAAAGTCGGCACGAACTCAATCTCAGAAAGAGCTTGGGAAAGTGGCTACTAGACGGCACGCACCGGAGGCGCGACTGCGCCTGCGCACGTGCCGCTAATGACGTCTTAAGACACGTGCCTCCCAAAGTGGCGCCCAACGTGGGGCGTGCGCGTTGCGTGCAGCAGCGCCGACCTGCGGAAGGAGAGAAACAATGGTTGCGTGACCGACGAGCGAGGCCGCACTTGTTTGCAAACAAAAGCGAGAGAGGGCGTTTCGGTCGAATGGGTTGCCGCCGCGTGCGCGCGTCCACTGCGCACGCGCACTAGAGTATCTGCCGTCGTCTCCTACGGTGTGCTGGGCGCAACGGGCCCGAAAACGACAATGTCATTTGTCCGCTCGATTGTCGAGATCGTTCAGAGAGAGTTTGAGATGCAAATTATGTGATGGGACTGAAAGGAACCGCTACACAGAAACCCACAGTTCAGACGAGGACACTGGGATGTCGGCCGTAATGTCGCATTCTACCGAGAAGATCGATCTGGGAAGCGGTGGTCTCGGGCTTTCTGGCACGACAACAGGGTCGTCTTTTTCAACACCATTATTCGAGCGATTTGTCTTTTCTTGCGTGTTTGTTATAAACTAACTCGCGTGCTTTGATTCGGAGTGTAAAATTAAGTTGTACACAAAATGTGCTTTAGTGAAGTTAATAGAAGGGCGCAATCGAGCGGGTTCAAATTGAACATGACATAAACTCTGAGACTGCAAGCAAAAACAAAACAAACACTGAAGGGTTTCGAAAATCCGGTAGAACAGTATGAAACGAAGTTCAAAACCTTTTAGTGTTATTGCCATTTTTACCTGCAGTCTCTGGGTTTATGTGATGTGTTTTAGGGCTGGATTTTAC